AAAAAAAAAAAAAAGAAAAAAGCAAAGCTCCAACAAGAGAGGAAATTATAAAGATCCGAGCAGAAATCAATGCAATGGAAACTAAGAAAACAATACTAAAAATAAATGAGATAAAGAGCTGGTATTTTGAAAGAATAAATAAAATCGACAAACCCTTAGCTAACCTTATCAAAAAAGGAAAGAAAAGGCTCAGATCCATGCAATCAGGAATGAAGAAGGCAAAGTCACAACGTATCCAAAAGAAATCCAGAGGATCATTAATACTTACTTTGAGAAACTATACTATAATGAAAAGGAAAACACAAAAGAAATGGACCGATTTTTAGATACTTATGAATTACCAAACTCGAACAAAGAAGATAAAATATTTTAAATACCTCAATTATAGTCAGTGAAATTGAAAATGCAATTAAAAATTTATGAACAAAGAAAAGCCAAGGCCCTGATGGTTCACTGCTGAACTTTATAAGACATTTAGAGAACTACTGCCATTACTCTTCAAACTTTTCAATGAAATTGAAGGGGAAGCTATACTTCCAAATTCATTCCTGGATGCAAGTATCACTTTGATTTCCCAAACAGGAAAGACCCAACTAAAAAAGAATACTACAGACCAAGCTCCCTAATGAATATAGATGCAAAAATCCTTAATAAGATACTAGCAAACAGAATACAGAAGATTATCAAGAAGATCATGCATCCTGACCAAGTCAGATTTATTCCAGGGATGCAAGGGTGGTTCAACATATTAAAGTCAATAAATGTAATACATTATAATAATAAAGTTAAGAACAAAAACCATATGATCCTCTCAATAGATGCAAAAAAAGCATTTGATAAAATTCAACACCCATTCATGATAAAAACCCTGCAAAAAATTGGAGTAGATGATCTATACCTCAATTTAATAAAGGCCACAACAATAAGAGAAGAGAAATAAATTAAAGCAATAAAGATAGGAAAGGAAGAAGGTAAACTGTCATTATTTGCTAATGATATGGTACTCTACATTGAAGACCAAAAGACTTTGTGACTTAATTGACAAATTCAGTAGAGTAGCTGGATACAAGTTCAACACCCAGAATTCAATAGCCTTCTTGTACACAGATAACAGACTCACTGAGAGAGAAATTAGGGAAATAATTCCTGTCACAGTAGTATTCAAAAAAATGAAATATCTAGGAATCAATCTAACACAAGAAGCAAAAGATCTCTACACTGAAAACTATAGCACTGTGAAAAAAGAAATTGAAGAGGATATAAAAAGATGGAAAGATATCCCCTGCTCCTGGGTAGGAAGAATCAACATAATGAAAATGGCCATACTACCAAAACTGCTCTACTGATTTAATGCAATGCCAATTGAAATCCCAACACTATATTTCACAGAACTAGAAGAAAGAATCCAAAAATTCTTTTGATATCATAAGAGACCTTGAATAGCAAAAGCCATCCTAGACAAAAGACATGGCAGTGGCTAATGTTTGCAGAACTATATCAAAGAGGAGTGGTGATAGTGGGCATCCTTGTCTTCTTACTGATTTTAACATGAAGGTTTTCAGTTTTTGTCCATTTAATATGATGTTGGCTGTTGGTTTTTCATGTAGAGCCTATATGAAGTTGAGAGACCTCATATCCAATTTTTTGCAGGGTTTTTGAGCATGAATGGGTGTTGAATTTTGTCAAATGGTTTTTCTGCATCTATCGAGAGGATCATGTAATTTTTGTCCTTGACTCTGTTAATATAGTATACTACATGTATTGATTTACATATGTTTGACCATCCTTGTTTCCCCAGAATAAATCCGACTTGCTCAGGATGTATGATCTTCTTGATGACCCTCTGTATTCTGTTTGCTAGTATCTTATTAAGTCTTTTGCATCTGTATTCATCAAGGAGATTGGCCTGTAGTTCTCTTTTTCAGTTGCAACTTTCCCTGATTTGGGAATCAAAGTGGTATGTGATTCCAGGAATTAATTTGGAAGTACAGCTTCCCTTTCAATGTAACTGAAAAGTTTGAAGAGTAAAGTCAATAGTTCTTCTCTAAATATCTTGTAAAATTCAGGAGTAAATCCATCAGGGCCTTGTCTTTTCTTTGTTGGTAAATATTTAATTACATTTTTTTTATTTCATTGACTGTAATTGGAGTGTTTTAAATGTTTTTATCTTCTTTGTTCAACTTTGGTAATTCATAAGTATCTAAAAATCTTTCTATTTCTTCCATGTTTTCCAATTTATTGAAGTACAACTTCTCAAAGTACGCATTAATGATCCTCTGGATTTCTGTTGGATCTGTTTTGACTTCACCTTTTTCATTCCTTATGGCACAGATCTGAGCCTTTTCTTTCCTTTTTTAGATAAGATTAGCTAAGGGTTTGTCGATTTTATTTATTCTTTCAAAAAACTAGCTCTTTGTTTCATTTATTTTTTGTATCATTTTCTTAGTTTCCATTGCATTGATTTCTGCTCGGATCTTTATAATTTCCTCTCTTGTTCGAGCTTTGGGTTTTTCTTGCTCTTGTTTTTCTAGGAGTATAATATTCATCATTATGTTGTTTATTTGAGCTCACTCTGTTTTCCTAGTGTGAGCATTCAATGTCATGAAACTTCCCTGTAGAACTGCTTTCACTGGTTCCCATAAATTGCTGTATGTTGTGTTGACATTTTCATTTACTTGTAAAAACTGTCTAATTCTTTAATTTCTTCTGTGATCCATTGACTGTTCAGGAGAGTGTTTTTCAATTACCATGTTTTTGTGAAGTTCCTTATATTTCTTGTGCTATTGATCTCCAGCTTGATTGTACTATGATCTGATAATATACAGGGGTTAACTTCGATTCTTTTGCATTGATTCAGACCTGTTCTATGAGATAGTATACTGTCTGTCTTGGAGAATGACCCATGTGCAGCCAAAAGGAATGTATATTCTGATTTTGTGGGGTGGAACACTATAAATGTCTATTAAGTTCATGAGTTCAAAAGCTTGGTTTAGTTCTAGCATTTCATTATTAATTTTCTTACTAGATGATCTGTCTATTTGTGATAGTGGGGCATTTAGATCCCCTACTACAATTGTATTAATGGTGACTTGGTTTTTCATGTTACTTAATAGTTGTTTTTTATATTTGGGGGCATTAATATTTGGTGCATATATGTTTATGATTATAATCTCTTCCTCTTTAACTGTTCTCTTTAAAAGGATGTAGTAGCCTTCTTTGTCTCTCTTAATGAGTTTTAGTTTGAAATTTACTTTGTCTGTGAATAAGAGTGCAACCCCTGTTTTTTTCTGGGCTCCTGTCAAGTGGAGAATTGTTTTCCATCCTTTCCCTTTCATTCTATGGGGTTCTTTTTCCACTAGGTGTGTTTCTTGTATACAACACATTGTTGGATTTTACTTTTTAATCCATTATGCCAGTCTATTTTCTTGCCTGGTGAATTGAGGCCATTGACATTGATGGTTATAACTGATATGTACTGACATTATTGTCATGTCATTGTCCTTTTGTTGACTCTTTTTAATTTTTACCTCTCTCCTTTTAGTTTCTTGCCTTGCCTATTTGATTTGGTCTGTTGAACCTCATGGTGTTGTGACCTTCATTGTCTTTTTCTAGGATATTGCTTAGAATTTCTTGTAATTCTAATTACAATTGGTTTGGTGTTCGTGAAGTTTCTCAGGTGTTTGCATGGAAGTATTTTATTTCCCCATCCATTTTGAAAGAAAGTTTTTTGGGAAACATCAGTGTAGGTTGGAGGTTGTTTTCTTTTATGATTTTAAATACTTCAGTCCAGGCTCTCCTTGACCTAAGGGTGTGCATTGAAAAGTCTGCTGTGATTCTGATGGGCTTTCCTTTGCATGTGGTTTATTTCTTTTCTCTTACTGCTTGTAGTATTTTATTCTTCAGTTGGATTTCTGGGATTTTGACTATTATATTTCTAGGTGTACATTTTTTTTTATCATGGCTAGTTGGTCTCCTGTATGCCTCAATTATCTGTATGTCTAATTATTCCCTCTCTTTGGGAAGTTTTCTTTCATTTATTCTGTGAACATCTTTTTTACTTCATTTTTATTTTCTCCTGCTACTTCATGGATTCCTATCAGTCTTATGTTATTCTTCTTGGCATCATCTAGGAGTTGTTGGATTGATTTCTCATGATGTCCCATTGTTTTTCAGGGAACTCTGTTTTCACAGTGACTGACTGCAATCTTATCTTCTATATCTGAAATTCTATCTGTGCAATCTTTTATTCTGTTGCATACACTTTCAGTAGAGTTTTTAATCTCCTGGTTATCTGTTTGAATCTGTTCTGTGGATTTGATTTATTTCCTTTGTTGGACATTCATTTTTCCATTTCTTTCTTATGGTGGGCCTTCATGGTTTCTTCACAGTCCTGAGCTCATCTATTTATTTCTCAGTTTCTGTTTTGGAGTCTCGAATCATGACTTTCATTTTGCTCACCATCTCTTTTGTTATCTGGGAAATTTTTTCTGTTTTGAATTTTTTTAGAGCCCAATTGATCTGTTTTGTTTCTTCCTGTGCTATGGGTTCAGGATGTTTTGCTCAATCACTATCAGACTTTTCATTCTCCTTTGCCCTAGTGTTTGCCATTGGTGAACTGGAAGGCTATCTTTGTGTCTTACTTAAATTTTTTGTCATTTTTATTTTTGTTGTTTGGTTGTCCTTGGTTTAATTTCTCGGTTATTACTTAAATTTTCCTGATATAGCTTCACTTTAGCTTTTGAGTCTCTAATGACTCATAGGCATTCTCATTTTCATAATAACAGAGAAAATAACTCATTCTATTAATCACAATCCTTTATCCTAATCAATACAATCAGAAGCACAGTAGGATCAAGCAGAACCTGCAAATTGACCACCTGTGGTAGTCATTGATCGATCACCTTTAAACCATGTGAATTAAATTAAATTTAAAAAGCTGCCAAAAATATGTGTGCAATGAATAAACTTTTCTATATAGCATATTTACCATTTACCATGGGGACTTAGACAACATTAGGAGGAGCAGTTAAGTGCAAAAATTGGAGAAGGTTTCAAGTGAAACCAGAGGGCATAGAATGACCATACAATCTTTATGAAACTTAAATTCAAAAGGGATAGACACAGTGCAAGAATAAGGACAAGAATATATCCCCTTAACAGTAATAGGGGTTCACTTTCCCTTAAAACTGCTGACCCGTAAGTGAAGTAAAATGACAGAAGAATTTAAAGAAAAAAGAAAAAAACAATAACAGAAAAAGTCTGAGCTTGGGCAGGAGCAGGAACAGAAAGGGAGATGAGGGATAATATCATGGAGAAAGAGACTGAGTTGGAGAAAGATGACAGAAGAAAGAAGAAGTTGCAGAGTGGAAATATGAAAAGAAAGAAAACAAATAATTTGAAGGGCTGCTTTCAGACTATGTCTCTGCTGTCATAATATGCCATGTGCACAGTCATGTGCAGAACCAAGTCCCAGTTAGCCAATGGCAGATCCTTGCACCTCAGACTAAGCTCAGACCACAACTCCCAAATTGAGTTCCCCAACCTACAGTGTTGAACTCCACACAATTCTATCACAGGTTTCTCCCCCACTTTCTTTAAGGATGTATGAAGTTGGGAGCTCTGAAAAATACCCTTTATGACCACCTATGCCTCTGCTGAGTGGGTCCAAAGACTGGCCCAATCAGGAGGCCTGAGAATGGGGGGAAGGGAGTCATGGGAGTGTTTCAAGGGGTGGTGCACAGACAAAGGAGGGCGTGGCTTCCCGGGCCTACCAAATGGGTCCAAGCAGGCCTGTGGGAGAGATCTCAGTGCCTCCCTCCTTCCTCGCTGGGGCTAGTGGTGCACAGGCAGGGTAGGGTGTGGCTACCCAGTCCCACTGAATGGTCCCAAGTACCAAATGTGGTTTAATGTAGGCTAATACTTTGTATTTTATTTCAGTTGGCATTGATGCTCCATTGATTTAGAAACCTGCTTTTATTTCTTTATAATTCTTTTTATATGATGGTTATTTTCTTCACATGTAAAATGATTTTAATTTTTAAATATGTGTTCAAATGTGTTTTTTGGTTTCTCCTAGAGATTGTTCTCTGGTTATGAGAAAAATATTGTTTTATGGATATCTAATTAAATGATATGTAAAATTTTATAGGTTAATTTGTTGCATAGTGCAGATCATTGTATTTGAAAAAGAATGATTAAAAACCCCTTAAACTAAAGAAGTGCAAATAATCAATTGCACAAGAGTGTAAGA